TGTCTTGATTAAGCACTGTTTTGATCCAGCATCTGTTAAACCTAGATCAAAATGTTTTTGAAAAGCGTTGATGAAAGGCATAAAAAATGTAAATCTTCAGTTACCACGGACTCTTAAGCTGAGGAAATAACTAATCTTTGGCGGCCATTCTCTCACTATTTTTACCTTTGAAAACAGGTGACCCCCCACCTCCTTCTTTTGCAGTTATCTCGACTTGTATTCAAGATAAACTGATATTTTTTGCATCCAAATAAAGATAAGTAAACAAGCTTTAAGATGATAACTTTACATACCCGAAAATTGACGATAGCCTGATTCCACTACGCCGTTACCTCAACTTCTTGTCCGTGACCAATTTTCTTCTCCGTTCCAACACTTTCAGTTGTTATAAAATGGAAACCGTTAACACAATGCTATTACTTGTGAATTCCAGCACAAGCCTATGTTGACCACTGTCTGTATAGGTTGGTTTATGCATGTATCTGGTTTGGTTTCTAAAGTATCGAAAACAATTGTAATCAAATTATGGCGGTTTTCGCTTCTCTGTTCTATTATAGTGAAACAAGCTGGGCCCCCTTTCAATGAAAGGGATGATCGGTGCTTTAATATCCACTAAAAGTCATTGGCCTACTATATTTACACTCTACTGGAATGGAGAAATAAATCTTGAGAGATGCAAAAAATTAGACGGTCTAGATCTATACTCTCAAAACAAAATGCGCCTCGCGAAATATCACTTCCGGATTTTCTAAAATTACAGAGACAGAAGCGTCGGCCTACAAAAGCGATCGGCGAAATAAAGAAATTTAGCTTTTTGCAGCAAAACTGTCTCAAAACTGAAAAAACCAAGGGCGCCATGATCTGGAGAATATTTTAAAGAATTTTTTGGCGGAAACCGCATGTCGATCGATGCAGCCATTAAAAAGCCTTTTGAACTGCAAAATTCGCCACCACAATTAGATAATAGATAATAATATGAAAAGCTTATATAAACAAAACGACATACAGCCCTAGTTATTGACCTGATCAAACAATTACATTCCAAAATTTGCTCGTTTTGTCCAGAGTTTCCAATCAACAGCGTATATTCACCACGAAAAGGAACATTGTTAAACACAAGGCATATTATAAAGACCAATATCTTCGCTATTGTTCAGAAATAAGCTTAATTTTCGAAAAAAAATGTTATGCCCATTTTCTACATTTAAAAAAAAGTCCCATCTATCTATCTATCTATCTATCTTTCTATCTATCTATCTATCTATCTATCTATCTATCTATCTATCTATCTATCTATCTATTTTCTTTCTTTCTTTCTTTCTTTGTTTTTTTTTTTATCTAATCGAAATAAAATGATGATTAATAATTTTAGAAAACATGTTCTTGTAATGTGAATTACCATACCACGTAATCGCGTGTTTTGTTTGATAGTTGTAGCGCATAGTCAATATTCTGGCTGAGAATTTGGCAGATAATTATGCCCGACGATTCTATTTGATCTTAACAAGTGTATTGATTCTCTCAATTAAAATTCGTACTGCTAGAAGCTCAAATTTTTTAATAATAATAATTGTTTAAAAATGCTATGTTTATAAATACGTATATACATACAATGCGCTTTCAAATAAATATTATCTTTTTTACATCACATTAAAAAGAAATCTTTTACAATTTCTGCTAAGATGCACAGTGGGTGAGGAAAATTATGAATGTTTGTTGAGGTATTCTTACCCATTACTCTGTTAAAACGTTGATTGTTCGCGTCGTACGCTCGCTAAACAGCAACACACGAGATCTATGTTTTTAATGCAAACGTTTCACTTAACACACGAAATGAGCTGATGCATGTCACAGACTCTCACTAGCCCAAGTCGAGACCACTGTCATTGTTACTGTATAAGGTTTTACGCGCCTCTAACCACTATAAGGTATTTATAAGATTTGTATCAAATGTATCGTCTCTTTCCGATAGAACTGAACCAGATGAGGAGAGAACATTACTAATTTCCCCAAAACAAACCATGTTCAAAAGGCTCCCATGAGTTTCAAGCTGGGGCCACCCGCTATGTAGAGTTGACGAGGTGAAGGTAGACAGGGAGACGGTTCTTGTGATCATGAGCAAAGGCGAACAAAAGATATATTTAATGCCAGTAGATGTAAAACAAAGACGTAGTCTACGTTAATCATCAAGTCTAGATTTCTAAAAAGTCAGGAGTTATTATTAATTATTGTGGAGCAGAAGTCAGAATGTCACAAATTAAATTTGTTACAGTTTTAACTTTGTAGTGGTGTTGTATCTCTTCCGGCTCCCCCGCTCTTTTTTTGTGATTTTGGTTAAATCTTTGTCTACCTCTCCTCATCATACATAATTGCCGTTTTCTCGGCACAACCGCTAAATTGCTTAAATCAAAGGTACTAATTACTGTTACCCTTGTTAAAAAACACCGCCTGGTCTCACTGTACACTGATCTGATTTTACGATGAAAATTTGATTCTCATTGAAAAAACAAAGTTCGATCTAAAAAATGCTAAGTAAAGGTTAATTCTACAAAAAGGTCAGATGCGCTCTTTGTCTGTTTATAAAACTGCTTTTGAGGAGCCTCAAAAGCAGTTTTATAAACAGACAACGAGAGGTAGGCTACGTTCACGCTAAACTCGGATACTTCCTGCTTTGCAATGTTTACGATAGAACTGGCAGTTACCATCCCGACAAATTGATGCCATACTTGGAGGGGAAAATACATGGCGCTTTCCAGGAGGAAGGAAACGAATTATATTGCTGTGCTGGATTTTGTAAAACCAATTATTGAAACGGAATTCTTGAAAATATAGCGTTTACCCATTTCATTGCAACCGTAACGTGAAAGGACAACACCATCTTTTGATTCCGCAAGTGATGGACAATACCCAGAAATGACAGATCTATCTCGGTTGCGATAGTTTTTATTTCTCTTTGTTGTATATCACCCATTTCCTTTGAACAGCAAGGATGAGCTTCTCTTCGTCCGTTTTGCCGGGAACTGACTGCGAATCAAGGACATTCACCCTATTGGTATAGTGGGAAATTACTTCCCTTGGACCATCCAGCCATTTTTGTTGTGTGCACACGACAAAGCAAACTGCTGGCTGACGGCAAATTGCGTGTGCTGGCGGCAGTCTGAACGTGTATCCCCAGTTTACATGGCAGGAAAGAGGGAAAAGGTGAACGTGTATCCCCAGCTTTCATGGCAAGAAAGAGGGAAAAGGTGAACGTGTATCCCCAGCTTTCATGGCAGGAAAGAGGGAAAAGGTGAACGTGTATCCCCAGCTTTCATGGCAAGAAAGAGGGAAAAGGTGAACGTGTATCCCCAGCTTTCATGGCAGGAAAGAGGAAAAAGGTGAACGTGTATCGCCAGCTTTCATGGCAGGAAAGAGGGAAAAGGTGAACGTGTATCCCCAGCTTTCATGGCAGGAAAGAGGAAAAAGGCGTGACGACAGGTTACAGCCGGCTGCTGACGGCTGCTGCCAGCATCTGGCCGGGCTCAGCGTGAACTTTGCCTAATGGGGTTAAAATAAACTGATAAGAAGCTGGGAAAACTCTTCGATTTGCATACGGACTATACTGAGAACTAGCCTAGAAGTGAATGAGGGTTATTCGGTTCCTTACAAAATTACGTACCCACTTGCCATTTTCAAATTACTCGACAGAGAGTTCTCGTACATAGAGAGCACATAAAAACAACCAAACAAAAAGCCATATTTAAACTGACAATCGTTTATTGCTTCAGGTTGACTATCCACTCAAGTTTTTCATTTATTTTTATAAACCAGCGTGCTATATCAACTCTTTATTATAGTAAGTACCTTGTGTAAGTACATAGTGTTACATTTTAAGTAATGCCAAATTAGCAAGGAAAAAAAAGACAAGAATGAAAAAAAAGGACACATTTTATACAGACTATGTCCAATAGGCCCAATAATAATAACTACATAGCAAGTAGTACATTTTTTTTCATTCACTTTGGAAGGAAAGCCCCTGTTCTTTACAAAAATAGGGATGGGAGGGCTGCAGGTGTTGCTGTCGGGGCCTTTCATTATTTTCGGTGAATGCAATTTATGTAAAATCAGTATAGGTCCCTTCAGCCAAGGGTGAAGTATAAACGCTTTCTGGCTGCCTTGCAGAGGCTGCCACTTTCCAAAATATCTGATAATCTGAGAGTATTCATAAGAGATATTAGAGCCGTCAACATCAAAGATTGGAATGGGTCGTTGGAAAGAGAACCCTGTGGCGGAACATCAGGCTCAGGGACTCGGAAAAAAAATCTCGACAGTTTCTCTGCACTCAGGACCTTCAGACGATGCAAGTCAACGGACGAGAGATTCCCGTCAGCCCCAGTTTTGACAAACAAGGTCAAAGCAGCCTGCTTCCTAAACTACTTCAATCGTGTCAATGGGACATAAATAATTTATTATCATTTTTGTGTCTGGGGGAATGGCGGTGTGGTTTCTTTTCAACGTTTCGGTTGTTCAATTTTCTTAAAAAAACAAATGTCTTAATTATTCTTTTTCTTTTCTGGGTTGTCCCGATTTGACCGTTCTGTACTTTAACATTAAACCATTAGTCGTTGGTTCGTATATTATAATAATATTATGTGAAGCAGCGTGAGGGAATCGGGCTCTCGTCAATTTTTGGGCATGTAGAGTTATTGGTTTCATTTTAAAGCTTGTTTACCTGTCTTTATTTTAATGAAAAAATATCCATTTTTCGTTGAATGCAAGTCAAGATATTTGCGAAAGAAGGAGGTGAGGTCACCTGTTTTCAGAGGTAAAATTTGTGAGAAAATGGCCACCAAAGATTAATTATTTCCTTAGCGTAAGAGTCCGTTTATATTTTTTATTCCTTTAATCAACTTTTTTAAAACAAATCCTCTCAGAAATGAGTTCTTTATTGGGCATGAAAGTGTTGATTAAAAAAACAAAAATTTGATAAAAATTCACAAACATGCGAAAAAATGCACGTTTCTTCATTTTGATTATTTTGACGAGAGCCTGATTCCACCACGCTACCTCACATATACGTTTTCGAATAGTAGTTAGCTCTTTGTATTCTAATATTACCCCTTACTGCGTCGGAGCAGCATTTCATCCAGGATCTGCTTGTACTTTGAACTCATGTTGTAATACACAAAGATATTCACTGCGGAATTTGTTGCTGATAAGGAAACAGAAAATGACCATGTCAGCAAATACAAGTCTCCGTATTTCCCTGATGCGGTATATTCGGGTTCTAAACTTTGTGCAATGAAGTTAATTACACTTGGGAAAAGGCATACTATGAAAATAATCGCAATAAATAGAACCAGCTTTACAACTTTCTTGTCTCTATTTGAAAAAGAGTCATGATCTCCAGAACTGGAAGTAGACTTCCGCCATTTTGACTTACTGATAAGATTTTGGACAAGGATTGTAGAGCAAATGATGACCATGCTAAATGTAATGAGTTGAGAGAAGGCATTAATCAAGAAAACAGCACTTTCTATGGCAAAGCCGTTTGGAATATAAACCATTCTGAACTTGGTCTCGTTCTTTAGAGGAGAGTATCTGGGCTCCAGGCGAAGGGCATAAAACACTGGCAGCAGGGCACCTATCATTGCCACGTATATGCTAACGAGTACGATTACTATTCTCTTTACTGTTATCATTGTTTTAACTTTCAGAGGCACAGCAATACAGAGGCATCTTTCCAGCATTATGAAGGCTGTAATCCAACCAGAGATACGGGCAAAGCAAATGTGTGGCCACCCTGATGTCAGGTGCAAAACCTCCACAGTATCAAAGGGCAGATCAGAATTTACAAATAAAGGGTTAAAACCAATGCTCACCCAGAGCAGCGGCAACAGTGCCCCTATATCGGAAATGGCCAGGCTGAACAAAGAGATGTTCACATTGTCTTTAAAGCCCTGTCTGATAAAAACGATTAGGTTGATGACGTTAGTCACAATGCCAGACAAGCTGATGGCTCCTAAAATAATGACGAAGAAACCAATGACGAAGATTGTAAGGACTAGATCGTTGACCATTTTGCTAGGTCGTGGTCCAAACGACGTTCCATAACTTTCGTTTCCAGAGGCCATCTCTGTTCTCTTGTGACGTTTCCCCAATTCCTGAACTTGCACAAGCACTAGAGCTGTATAAATAGAGAACAAACGACGTGGTAATGATACGACCACCAGAGCCTGCCTGTTGAATTTTAAAAATCTATTTGAGTGCGAGAAATGAACTTAAATAAAAAATAAATAATAGATAGATAAACATGTAAATGAATAAATAAATAAATAAATAAATAAATAGCATATAATGATAATAAATAATAATAAACATGCAATTAAGACAAGATGGGAAAATTACTTCCAAAAACTGCTCAACCCTGACGCTTGCCACGGACAACAAGTTCCAACCATCTTATGGAGATCAAACAGAACCTCCAATACTTCCCAGTGAAATAAAAACGGCACTTAAGACCAGTCCCAAGAACAAAGCCCCAGGACCAGATGACATCACAGCGGAAGCCATAAGAGCTTGTGGAAACATCGGTATACTGTGGCTGAGGCGAATTTTCAACAGAGCCTGGGAACAAAGAAAATGCCGAGAAGACTGGCAGAAAGCCATAGTGGTACCATTATGGAAAATAAGGGCAACAAACGCGACTGCACAACATATAGAGGCATCTCATTGTTAAGCCACTCAGGAAAATGTATGCAAAGATACTAGAGCAGCGCATAAGACATATTGTAGAGAGAAATCTGAGCAAAGCTCAGTTTGGATTCCGAAAGGGAAGAGGAGAAAACAATCGAACACAACAAAAAATCCAACATCGTCTCTATACACCAGGAGAAGGCTTTTGACAGAGTAAAAAATGCAGAACTCTGGAAGACACTCGAAAAGTACGGCGTCAGAGGACAAATGTTAGATAAGGTTAGAGCTCGATATACCAACAGCAGAAGCTAAGTAAGAACAAAGGAAGGCAATACAGACTGATTCAAGTAAGATCTGGAGTACGACAGGGATGTATTCTATCTCTCCTCCTGTTAATGATATATATGGACACAATAACACAAGAAGCAAACCAAAAGCCCAGAAAGCCTAAATGAATTTCTGCTTGCAGGGGACCAATGTCTTATTCATCATGACCAACAAAGCCTCCAAAATCACACTACCGAACTCAACAACACCTGTGAGAAATTCAACATGAAAATAAGCATATCAAAAACAGAAGTTATGAAAGTGAGCCGAAACCATAGTCCCCTGAACACACATGCCAATTGTAAAAAAACTGAAACAGCACTTTTTCGGAAAACGGGTCCATAGACAGAGAAATAGAAATGCGAACTCAAAAAGCCAACGCTGTCACCTACCAGCTCGCACCTCTCCTATCTCATCCAAACATCTCCATGGACACAAAGAGGCAGCTTATCACCTCAAATATTATGTTATCAGTGCCAGGCCTGGACCTTAAGCAAAACCCATTAGAGCAAAATCCCTGCAGGCGAAATTAAATGTCCGCAAAACCCTTAACACCACAAGACGAGACAGGCAGAGAAACGAAGAAGTAAGAGCAGCTATCGGCCCTGAGTCCAGCCTGCGTTACATAGAAAGACAGAGGATATTAAAATGGTTTGGCCACCTGTTACGCATGTCACCTGACCAGCCAGCCTCGAGAGCCTACAACACCAAGCACTCAGGCTATAAAGGAAGAGGAAGGCCACGCAAAAGGTGGATCAAGGGTGTCAAGGAAACACTAAGAAAACATAACATCACAACTGTGAAAGAGCTGCGGAGCTGGCCCACCATAGAAAACTGCATCTCCCCTCGACGCTTTACGGCAACAGAGGATGAAAAAATAATAATAACATTAAATATTACAAAATTAATAATAATAATAATAATAACTGAATTTACAAAGCTATTATCCACACTTTCCGCACGCTGTATTAGTTTAGATAAACCATACAGAAATGAATAACACATAAACGCTTCAACAAGTTGAGACAACGTTAATAAAAATAATGAAATGGTTTTAACAAAAGAGAACATTTGAATTTTGTTTCCAAAAAAGGTGTCTGCCTCTCATTCAACAGGCCCCGGGTTCAAATCCTGCTAACGACTGAAAATTTCATATCTAAATGTTCCTCGTTAACCCCCTTTTCTGCTCTCTAGCGATGTTCTGTCGTGTGCTTTCGTCTCCACTTTCTACCCCCTTTCCCACCTCCTTTGCCCCCTCCTCTAGGCTCCGGACTCTTTCTGCAACCTTTCTACTGCTTCTCCTTGGCTCCTTCTTACTGCTGTATTTCAGCCACACCCTTGATCTTATGGTAGGTCAGATCTAACACCCAGCCCTCTCGGATAAGGGCTACAAATCTTGGAGACCGGAGCACGTTAAAGATCCCTTGGTTCTCCAAAATGAGTAGTCTTTGGCCACTACCAGGGCAAAATTCAAAATTTCCTGCCAACTGAAACCGTTGAGTGCGTCTCGTGCGCTTATGTGACCTTATGCAGCTGTGAGCACCGCAAAACACTTACCAACAAAAACAAGTAAACAAAATAAAAAGTAAAAAAGCCAACAACCCTTGAACAAAACAATGAGGCCTAAAACATTCGTATATTACTTTTTGTTTTGTGCCACATACACATAACATAAAAAAGATAATTTCATTGTGAGTACTTTTTTCCGTAGTTGATGTGGAACAGATTCTGACTAGACAACAGCTTCTCAGTGAGACTATAAGGGCACAGGACCCAGTTGATGGTTTCAAGTTCACAAACCTCCATTATTTTATATAGATCTAGTAATAAGTAAACATTAGTAGATCAATCCTTTTAGTATTTCCCCGTAAACGATTCACTCGCACGGGGTGTACCTAAAGTTGAAACGTCTGAACAAACAATTTACCCTGTACCGCCGGGGATTTTCCCGTTAATAGTTTATGTCAAGTTTACACATCTGAACAAACAATTTACCCTGTACCGCCGTGGATTTTCCCGTTAATAGTTTATGTCAAGTTGACACATCTGAACAAACAACTTTGCACCGCTCTCAGACATAATTACACAATTTTGACAATTATAGAACCATGTTTCAATTCGATTATGCAACCCGCAGAACAAATTATCTTATCACGACCAAAGATAATCGATAGGTTAGCTAAACTGACACAAAATACATGACCCCAGCATAAACATTTTTCTTTGTTTTTGTTTGGGGTTTTTTTGGGGGGTGGGTGGGGGGGGGGGGGTAGCGACAAAAATAAATCGTGTTCATGTCATGGTTAGTGAGTCATGGATGGGATAAGAATGGTACCTCTTATTATAAAACGAACGTCTTTTTGAAGCTGCTGCATTACTCACGCGGAAAGTCAAAGTTTCATTCTTCTAAATAAACCTGTATTGGACAGTGAATCTCCGCGGTATGCGGGGGGGGGGGGGGGGGGGGGGGGGTTCCGATACATTAAAACAAAGACGGTTTTTCGATCCACATATCTTTTTGCATACAGTGTTACACCTCGGAGATCTGAGGACAAGAACGAACTGTGTAGCGTCGTGGGGAAATGAGCCGCTCGTCAAAATAATGATAATGAAACCGCCATTTTTGTGCAAGCTGGACAATGTTTTTCAATATTTGAAAAATATTTTGTTGTGCTCAACAACTTTCATGCACTTTTATAAGCATATTTCTATGTGGGTTTGTCTGAACAACTTTGATTAAAAGGCATTAAAAAAATGTAAATTTGCAAGTTTCCAAGAGCACTCAAAAGTTTGGAAATTATCAAACTTTTGTGGCCATTTTCTTCCTATTGTTGCCTCTTATAACAGCAAAACCCACCAAAGCCAAATGTATATAATATATATTTTCAGGATACTACATGTACCAAGTTTCAGCTGTTAAAAAGCAGGACTGTTTCGTATGTTATTTTACTGAAAAAGAAGGTTTGACGTACGCCAAGACTACTTTTAACCTTTCTTTCAAGTCAAAGACCCAGGCTTGTCTTGTACAGTTATTCTTGTGTAAGTCAGTGCCTTAACCCGGAAAACGAAAGTGAATGTACTATAGTGTCTCTATTGTGACGTAAAACACACATTTAAAAAAAAAAGGAGCTTATGATTATAGGGAAACGACGCTTGTTTGTTTGATGGGGTTTTGTTTGTTATACCGTAGCTTTAACATCTCAAAGGGATAAACAATAATATGTGAGGCAGCGTGGTGGAATCAGACTCTCGTCAAAATAATTAAAGTGAAGAAACTTGCCTTTTTCTGCAGGTTTGGGAATTTTTATCAAATTTTTGTTTTTTGGCTCAACACCTGTCAAGGCCATTAGAGAACTCATTTCTATGTGGATTTTTTCTGAAAAGCGTTGATTAAAGGCACACAAATGTAAATTTTCTGTTACCACGGACTCTTAAGCTAAGGAAATAACTAATCTTTGTGGGCCATTTTCTCACTAATTTTACCTCTGAAAAAGGTGACCCCCCCCCCCCCCCACCTCCTTCTTTCGCAAATATCTCGACTTGTATTCAAGATAAATGGATATTTTTTTTCATCCAAATAAAGACAAGTGAATAAGCTTTAAGATGATACCAATAACTCTACATGCCCAAAAACTGACGAGAGCCTGATTCCACCACGCTGCCTCACATATACAAGTAGCGTAGTTTCTTTTTCATCATTCATTAGAATTTAACTGAATGTAATTCATTTCTGAACAAAAGCTGTGGAACATTGTAGGGCGTCTTTTTTGTGCGTTCACTTACATTTTTAAAAAAGGAATGCTTTCTTCTACAACCACAAACTTCGGATGTTAAAATAGGAAATGTTTTTCAGTCCAAGTTAATAATGAATGTATTTGCAAGCATTAATTGAAAGTGAGAGTCTGAGAGAGAGAGAGAGAGAGAGAGAGAGAGAGAGAGAGAGAGAGAGAGAGAGAGAGAGAGAGACGGAGAGATAGATAGATCGATAGATAGAGATAGAGAGAGAGAGAGAGAGAGAGAGAGAGAGAGAGAGATATAGATAGAGAGAGACAGAGAGAGAGAAAGACAGACAGACAGACAGACAGACAGACAGACAGACAGACAGACAGAC